GCATAAATAAAAATCAGATTGGTCTCTCTCAGGTGATCATATTAGTTGAACAGAATCTCATACAATTGTAAAAGTCATAGTAAAGATGTCTTTATTCCAAAATAATAATAATATAATATAATAATAACAATAATAATAATAATAATAATGTGTTAGGCAGACTGCTACAAAACATCTACACAAGACTTTGGTAAGAAATGTTCATGGTAGCTTTTTCATATTTCCACAGCAAACAGAAACAACAAAGGAAATCTAAAAATGCCATCAAACAAAACTTTAACTTGTATGCCACACACAGTCCTACTGTACATTTGTTAAGCCCCTAACTTTTCCTTTTCATTATGTGTAAAGATTCTATAGTTTGCATATTAGAAAAGAAAAAAAAAAAAMMCATATGCACAACGCTAAGGTCTGATAGTTGAGGTCTACAAAACTGGTATGACATCTGTGCTTTCAGTTCAGCAGGATATTCAGGACATCAGAACAAGAACAGTTCTCATTTTTATCGACTGATAATCAGTGCCTATTACACTACTAAGAAAGTTTACAGTAACAATGCAAGACTTCTACATATTGTGTATCCGAGCTTTTTCTCTTTTTTTTTTTCTGAATAGAAAATCAACCTCTTATTTTTTTTCTCCATTTGTTTTTGTTTGTGTTTCTTTTTTTTACAAAATGTAAGAAGCTTAAATCTTGTATCAAGTTAGAAGAAAGACAGGCAATCTGTAAAATGCTTCAACAGAAAAGCTGAACGTAAKCAGGAGTGGTCACACATCTCCGACCCGGTGCAATCTACCTTGTCACTTCATTTATTAATAAACTGGGGGAAAAAAACAACTTCAGAATTTTATTGAGCCTAAGAGAAATGACTGGAAATCACACTGAACAGGAAAAAAAAACCCCAAAAATTTACAGCTTACTAAGAACCACAGAGAAAGGAATGGCAGATTGTTTTAATGGACAATTTTGTGGGCATCTTCAGAAAGATGTGTGTTTTCTATGCACCTAAAGGTGTATTTGGGCTATGTGGCCTTTGGCAAAGGGAATATTTAGCAGACAAAACAGCCTGATGAACTGGAACAAATGTGCAAATGAAAATACAACCAGGGTTTAATTGATTATTTGCTGRAACAGGCACAGTTTTGCAAGATTAGCTTGAACAAGGAGTAAGGGGTGATGAGATAAATCTGGTTCCTGAACTCAGCATTTTTTTTTTTTCCATTCAGGCACCCTCTGCCCCAGGCTCATAGATCATCCAAAGCCTTCAAAACCACTCTGTAACACATTTTATGATCAAGGATTACTTTTCTGAGTGAATGGTCTAAGCTGGGACACCAGAGATGTGGCTCTGTCCTGGCCAGGCCTCTGACATTAAGCACTACGGGTTTTCTCTACAATTTCTTCAGCTGAAATATGCTCAGCTGCTCACTCCTCTAGTTCCTGTATTATTCCACTGGGATTTTTGTTGGGTTTTCTTTGGTTTTTTTTTGTATAATATGAGGTCCTGAATGCATCAGTGAGGGACAGCCTTGCAGGTGTCAGGTCCTCAGGGTTGTGACTGAGAGCTAAGGAAGTGAATAAATTACTTAATAAATAACTGGTTTAAAGAGACTATGAAAACAATTTCTCTCCATTCATTTCTCTCAAGCTTGAGTCACCATCAACAAGTCTTTATTTTCAGTGCATTGTTACTTCTGTGGAGACGTAGGGGTGTGCTGCCTTTCCTGGAAAAAAGATAACCCATCATCTTCCCCTCTTAATTTCACATTGTTAAAATTACAGTACAACATTGTATTCCAAGAGAGCCCAGGTGTCTCACTGATCACACCTGACTCCATGCAGKGATGAGAGCTAAATTCTGCAGAAGACAAGGTAAAAACAGCAATTAGGAGGGTGAGGAGCTATTTTCTAAGCTCAGGCAGTTTGTTGATCACTTCAGTAATCAGGGAGGGCCTTGAACGTGGATAGCAGAGCTACAAATGGGTAATTCTCACAAATTCAGTGATTTTTAGATTATCCTGTACTCTGAGTAAAAAAGACATAAATGGCACTGCTGCAAACATATTCTTGTGCCTATATCTAACTCATTTTTTAAGACTGACATTGTGTCCTTTCAGAGGCTCATTGCAGTTTTAAGGGATGCACGAGAACCTGGCTCAGTTTTTCTCTACCATTTTAAGTTTTATTATAAATCTATTTCCCTCTTCACCTGTGACTAACATCCTCATGAAACCAAATCTAGTTTTTTARTGTCTCTCATGTGGAAGACTTCATGTGACACAGCTGTTGCAACACTCTGGACCAATTTCTAAGTTCTGTATCCATTCTGAAAGGCAATGGACAGACCCAAGATGCAATCTGCACATACTCTGATATTTGCATGTTTTGTTTTGTCTTTCATCTGTGATGATGGTCAGACATAACTATTGAGCTGCAAAAATTATTTCCTTTTTAAGTTTTGAAGAAACAAAGACCTTTTTGCATGGACCACAGCATCAACGTGAAGTGTTTAGGATTATTATTATTATTACAATAACTATCATCTTAACCCAATAATGTAAAAAGATCAACATGCACCTTTAATGTTATTGAACCAGCATTACTGAAATTACTCCTTGGCATAGTTGTGTAATCACAGAGGCACTGCTTTGGATTTTCAAAATCAAWTCTAGAGAGAAATCTTCCCACATATGAAACTTTCTGCCACTTTAACTTAGTTTTGTTAACATGCATGCATCCCATGTCTTTACAAGTARTGTTTCTATATGGCTATTCCATGTCCACAGAAATGTCTGTATTGTATTTAAATAAATCATAATGACTTTACTATTTTTATGCATTAAGGGCTGGCTGGAGTACCAAAGAATTACTCCCAGCATAAATCTGTGAGGAAATATTTATAAAATATTTTTCTTGCACCAGCAAGACTAAAAAGCAAACCACACTGCAAAAATGAAAACTAACATACGCTTTATAATTTCGTTGTTGTTGCTGTAAAAAAAAACAAACCMAGGTTGACTTTCCATTTAGCTCAGAGTGCATCACTTGGAACCTYGTGTTCTGTTAACAAGGGTGGACATTACATGCTCTCAGCTCCTTTTTGTCTTTGCAGCTGGTGAACTGAGTGCTTTTGGACCTCTTCTTTACCATCATGTAGCGCTCCTGAATTCCACCTCCACAGAGTGTAGAACATTCTGTCCAAGCAGTCCATGGTTTCAGCCTACAAACTGAAAAAAAATAAGTGATTTGATTATGTTTTCAGTAGTGGAAACTTTTGTTAAGCATCATCAAGTTACATTTGTCAAACACAGAAAAAAAGTATGAAAAAAGAAATTTAGTATCTACATTATAAAATACGTAAGAAATGGTTAAATGTCCTACAAGAATGAGCCACAACTTAGCAGTAATTCCTACCCAGGTAAAACTCTACCACAAGAAATAATGGGGGTTTTTTTAAATTTGAGGAATCAGTGCTTGATGATACTCTCCCCTTGGAAAAGCAGTTCAAGCAGATCTCTTGGAGCAGCCAGAGTCTGAATCAGACTATTGAGGCGGAAATTAATCCAGTCTTGAAATTCCACATTGGATCCAGGAACAAATATTTTACACGTTTGAAACTAACTGATGTAAAGATTGTCACCCAGATCTGCAGAAACTGCAATCAGCCCTTTGCCAGATGTAATCTCCAAGATTTTTCGCACTTTTGTGYGAAGTAACCAAAATATTTTTAGTGCTGGGAGATGGAAAAATGCGAGCTTTTCTCCAGGGTGCTCTAAATTTAGGCTGGGTGATTTTGGTGACAGGCAAGCACTGAAAGTGGCTGTGTTTATTGCATGGCTGAAACTTTCCCTTGATTGAAATCTGAGCACTCTCACAGTATCATGCAGAAAAGCCACCAACACACTAAAAGTGGTCCCACACTCACCTGGATATTGTTCACTGTCTAAATTCTTCTTTGCTTGTTCACTCCTCCTCTTCTCCCTGGACTCCTTCCAGCGCCTCTTCTCCATCCCTGCGCCCCGCAGGCATTTCCTCACCCGGCATTTGGAGCGCTGCACGGTCTCTGGGCAGGCTGCTCCTCCAAACTGGGGCTCTGCTTTGATCATCCTGGTCCTGATCATGTGGCCTTTGCCACAYGAGGTGTTGCACTCAGACCATTGGGACCATTCTGTCAGCTCACAGTCGATGGCTGCGGAAAACGAGAAACGCGACACAAAATCCGTGAGATCCCAACACAAGGAGCACACAGATCTGCCTGGTGAATCTTTACACCCCAAATGAACTCTACTTAAACCCCCAATCTCCTCAGCAAAATGTTTCRAGGCTGCATGTCGAAATTTTCTGAGTTCATTCCTATCAGTATCTGACGCTCTCCTCGATTTCTCCTTCAAGAGTGGTGCTAGCAGATCACTAAAATTACAAGGAACATATAAATAATTCTCCTGTGCCTTCTTCAATTTTCCCACCCATCTGTCTGTTTTGCAAAGAAAAGCTGTTGAAAATTGAGTYAAATCTTAAAAATTTGCTACCTCTAAGATCTGAGCCTTGCTTTGCTGCTAGTGTTATGCAGTAGGCCTTACYCACTAATACCATTATATCTTAAAAGTTTTCATCTTTCAGCACTGCTTAACACTTACAGCCCCTGTGCATAGTAAGCAAAATGATATTKCACATTATTTAAGAAAAGCTGAATGAGCAATTACAGTGTARAAGACTTTTTAGCCAATACTTTCTRTGAAAAATAATGTCATTTGTGACAAAACCTCATAAAGCAGCTGGCAACAGGATGATAAAAGCAATCACATCTCATTCATTCAGCAGTGCCTKAGGCTATCACACTTCACAAAGACTGAAAAGCAACTAGAAATTTGCACTACCCACAAAGTGGGGGATTTTAAAAAAGTAAGGTAAAAAAAAAATCCCTGCAGCTGTCTCCACACCCTCCACTGGCAGGTTGCAAAGTGACATAGTTCAGAAATGTATAAAAGATGGAGAAAGCTGCTTTTGTGCTCTTTCTGAGCTGAAAGACTCCCACAGGTGATTTTAACTCTTCTTTTTTTCCTTTTTTTGGCATATGTTTACATTTGAGTGAAAACACGGGTTTTATAATCTGATTTATTTCCTACTGGGAAGTTGCCTGAAGCTGCAGTTTGTTAAAGATGCAGAACCCAGTATTCCCACAGCAATACTGGGGACCAGCTTAGGGTGAASTAAGGCAAGCTGGATTTAAACATGGTCACATCCAAGCTCTCAGTTGCTGAAAGTGTATAATAATAGTAATAATAATAATAATAGTAATATAATAATAATTTTTAACAATGCACATCTGCTACCCTGCCTAAGAAGTGATGCTAAGAAATAGTGATTGGTCACAGATTGTGACCCACAATCAGCCCCCTCTTCCCAGGGATTTTTCCAAACTCACGGCATTCTGGCAGCATGCATTTCTCTGCTTGTTCCAGCTCCTCGTTGCAGTCTCCCAGCTCAGCAGCAGATTTCAGCATCCTCTGCCTGGTCCTCATACCCTTCCCACAGGTCACACTGCARTCACTCCATTCAGACCAGGGAGACAGCAGGCAGGGGATGGTGTCTGAGAGAAAATAAAATGGGAATCAATCCTTCTTATTAATAAATGATGAAGGTACACATTTTGAAAATAATACAGGTGGATAACGTGCTGTATTTTATCTGTCATCAGCCAATTAGTCTTTCTTGTCACAAGCTGAATGATGTTGCTGAAGAAGCTCAGAAAGTTTTATATTAAACTGAAAGGTTTGCTTGATTTAAATACATTTGCTATCTTTTTCTATATCTAAGTCATATCTACTGAGTCCCAGTGCATCTGGGGAATAAATAGTTTAAGAAGCTATGTTTCAATCATAACTCCAGTTAAAAAAAAGAGGATTGTTGCAGTGAGCAGAACTGGAAGTCAATTTAGTCTAAAACGTGAAACTTCAATTTCTAATCTCCCAAAATTTTTTCTTTTTTAATTATGGCTGATGATTTTTTTTTCCTAAGAAATTAATAGTAAGGGTGAGACTGGTTGACTGTACAAAAGAAATACTTTAATTTCTCARCTGTTTATAGGCTAAAAGAAGAGGGCACTGGTTTATTTGCTTTATTCTTGCCTTGTGAGAGTATCTGTGATCAAATATATCTCCTATAACTCAGAGTTTTTTAGCTGTGGCTTTCTGATACACACAGCTCTGTGTGGGTCACAGAGTAATAAGATCACACTGAATGTTTTTTATTGATACTCTCATCCTGATGGTGCATCTGCTACTTAAATGCACAATCCCTAAGATTTTTCTCCCAATTGTGAGGAGAACAAGGAAAAGCTGTGTTCTGGTCCTTCTGGTTTAGCTGTGTGCTGGGACAAAATGTCAGAAATGATGTCTCTTTTTACAGCAGAGGAGAGGAACTCGGGGATACTCACGGCATTCAGGCATCATGCATTTCTCTGCCTCTGTGGTCTCTGCCTTGCACATGGATCCATCAGCAGGAGTCATCTTGATCATTCTGTGCCTCCTCTTCATCCCTGTGCCACAGCTGGCACTGCATTCATCCCACTCACCCCATTCAGTCACAAGGCAGCTGCTGGGAGCTGTTCAAAGTGGGCACAGAAAATTCTTTGTGAGGATCACAGGGTCAGATGAGTTGGAAGGGACCCTCAAGGATCATCGAGTCCAACTTCTAGACCTGCACAGGGTTAACCCCAAGACACCCCATTTCCCTGAGAGTGTTGTCCAAACACTTCTTGAACTCTGTTCAAATCTGGTGCTGCAACCATTTCCCTGGGGACCCTCTCCCAGTGCCCAAATTTTTCCTGATGTGCAACCTAAACCTGCCCTGACACAGCTTCAGGCCATTSCCTCGGGTCCTGTCACTGTCACCACAGTGATCAGTGCCTGTCCCTCCTCTTCCCCTCATGTAACTGCAGTGAGGATTCCCCTCAGTCTCCTGAACAGACCAATTTTGCTCAGMTGCTCCTAATATTCTCTAATATTTCTGAGTTCTACACTATTTTGAGGTCTCTCTACCGCTGAGGGAGTCAACAGCTGCTCCCAGWTTTGTATTGTCTGTAAACTTGTTTATTATCCCTTCCAGTCCTGCACCCAAGTCATTTATGAAGATGTTGAAGGGCAYAGGGCCCAGGATGGAGCTCAGTGGAACCCCACTAAGGCTCACATTAAAAATGATTTGGGCAGTGCTCCTGCTGTTGGCTGGATTTTATAAAGCTGGATAAAACACTCACAGCATTCCTCGTTTACAATACACTTCTCAGTCTCTTCAGTAGGCACTTTGCACATGGAGCCATCCTCAGGGAACTGTTTCACATATCTCTCCCTGGATCTGGTTCCCATTCCACAGGACACGCTGCAGGGGGACCATGTAATCCAGTCAGACATCATGCAGGTGGAACCATCTGGAACACAGAGAGCCATTTCAGCTGTGCCTATGACACAACTGCTGCCTGTTTGTCTGCAGCATCACTTTCCTGCTGCCTTTCACACCATCCTCTCCTCCCCTGCATCCCTTACTCCTTTCCCTTATACTTCTGTGTACTTCATGCACTGACTCAGCTGAGATTCACAAAAATTACCACAGACAGCTTCCATTCATGTTCTGCAGTAATTTTCTTTTTGCTGTAACTAGAGACATACCACAGCAACCAACATCCTAAAGAACTTTAAATGAAAATTAAACTCTACAAGGCATTCTTCTGCTCCTCCACCTCCCATTCCTGCTTACCTTCATCACTGCAGCCTGGCCCCATGCAGGGCTGAAAATCTTGAGTGTCTGGGCAGGGCACACTGAGGTCCAGCTGAGCTTTCAGCATTCTCTGCCTCATCCTCTTGCCTTTTTCACAGGTAGARGAGCTGCAGGCTGACCATGGGGACCAGTTGGAATAAATGCAGGTCTCAGGAGTATCATCTGAATAGTGAGGAAAGGCATTGAATGTTAAAAATAGTCTTTAATTTTCTTCCCTTGACTCAGCTGATGATTACTTTAGATTCTAATAGGATATATTATTTCCTTCTGCATTCTATATTCTCCATTTTAGCCCAGAAGAAAAGAGAATTACCAATTGGCAACTTTCATTAAAAAAAAATAAAAATTGAATCCCAAAAATCTTCTCTCTTTGATGACCTGTATTGTTATTGTCACCTGCTAGGTATACATGCAATTTCTTTTCTGTATAAGGGAAGGCTAATAGAGGATAGCAGAAGAGATGAAAACCTAAATCACTGCTTGACRCTGAGTGGAATTTTTGCTCCTAAGTCAGTTTTGTACCTTATCTATAAATGACAGTGGGGAATGGAACAAAATACAAATTATTAGTAACCCACAAACTAATTTCAAATGTACCTTCCTCTTTTTCCTCTGGTGCTAGATCTGCCACAATATCATCTATGTTATCAGGAACGATATTGCACTGCTCCCCCTGCAAAAAAAAGGTTGTGAACACTGAAAAGAGGAAGCTCATACATGAGAGGTTAAGCCAGTACATACATTGTGAGGCACTATTGTGTCTGCAGCACATTTTTCTCTTCAAATTCCCAGGTATACTTTGGAAAAATCCCCAATTAAGCAGGTGAAATAATTGCCAGAATAAGGAGAATTAATATCTTAATACAGTTTTTGTTGTTTCTGTCATTATCTTTGCTGTGGGTAGGTTTAAGAGGATAGATTTGGAGGGAAGGAGGAGAAAGGATTGTTTTTTTTTTGTTTATGAAGTGGGTTTTTTGCGTGTTTGAGAATTCTATATTCATATATTCTACCTTGCGTGCAATTCTCTCRATGACAACTCTGGCCACCAGTTTGATAGATCCTCCTTCTGGATCATAAAATGGACTTTGAGGATGATCTAAGCTTGTGAGAGGTCTGATCTTCTCCTGAGGCACTGTGGGTTTGTTAGGAGACTGCAATCAAAAAGAAAAAAAAAAAGTTTAAAAAGAAACTAATGGTTAATAATTGTAATTAAAACATCTCTGAAATGCTAAGCTTCAAAATTCTACTGTAAGGTGAACTTACTGTATTCATGCTTAATGGTGAGGGGATTGTTTTGTTTCATAGTGGTTTTGGTTTTTGTTTGTTTGGGGGGATTTGTTGCTGTTTGGTGATTTTGTTTGTTTTGGGTTTGCCATTGTTTTTGTGGTTCCTTCCAACCTTTCCCATCCTGTGATTCCATAGTTATAACACCCCAAGTGAATTTAGGATTATCCCATCAATAACAAAGCTCAAGGAGTTCAGGCCAAACGACCAACAACAAAGTGTAATTAACATCTACTTAAATGACTTCTAATTCATTATAAGAAACATTTTTACCAGAGTAAAAAGCATAAATTATAAGGCCACGTGTGGAACCACCACAGACCGAAGGGTTTTGTAAAAAATATAAATTATAACAAGGGTTTTGTAAAAAATATAAAGTATAAGGGCACGTGTGGAAACCCCACAGACCGAAGAGTTTTGTATTATAAGAGTACATGTGGAAACACCACAGACTGAAGGGTTTTGTAAAAAATATAAATTATAAGGGCACCACAGACCAGAGGGTTTTGTATTATAAAGGCACGTGTGGAATCACCACAGACCGAAGGGTTTTGTAWWAWA